TTGAAGCGGGTGAAGGAGGAGAGCGCAAAAGTTGGCTTGAAACTCAACATTAAGAAAACTAAGATCATGGCATCCGGTCCTCTCACTTCCTGGCAAATAGATGGGGAAGAAATGGAGGCAGTGACAGATTTTATTTTCCTGGGCTCCAAGATCACCGCAGAGGGCGACTGCAGCCAAGAAATTAAAAGACGCTTGCTCCTGGGGAGAAAAGCAATGGCAAATCTAGACAGCATACTAAAAAGCAGAGACATCACCCTGCCAACAAAAGTGCGTATAGTCAAGGCTATGAATTTCCCAGTTGCAATGTATGGCTGTGAAAGCTGGACCATAAGGAATGCTGAGCGCCGAAGGATTGAGGCCTTTGAATTGTGGTGCTGGAGGAGACTCCTGCAAGTCCCTTGGACCGCAAGGCGATCAAACCGGTCAGTCCTAGAGGAGATCAACTCTGACTGCTCTTTAGAAGTCCAGATACTGAAGATGAAACTCAAATACTTTGGCACCTAATGAGAAGGAAGGACTCCCTGGAGAAAAGCCTAATTCTGGGAACAATAGATGGCAAAAGAAGGGGACGGCAGAGGATGAGGTGGCTAGATGGAGTCACTGAAGCAGCTGGTGTGAGCTTGAGTGGACTCCAGGGGATGGTGGAGGACAGGAAGGCCTGGAGGAATGTTGTCCATGGGGTCACAATGGGTCGGACACAACTTTGCGACTAACAACAAACAATAAAAATGTTATTTAATGTTAATATTTTATTGGTTTATTTGTAACATGTAAAGACATTAGTTTCTACTAAAATGTACTGAAAACTGTTGCACACACTAAGTGCATAATCCTATGCACATTTAGACAAAAAAGTCCTACAACTCCAGCATTTCACAGCCAGCATGCATGGGATTGTGCCTTAATTCACTATCTCCCAATTTGTTGCTCTCCAAATATGTTACATTACCATTATGAACATTATTCACACAGAGCAGCTGCCTGGGGATGCTGTGAGTTGTATTCCAACATATCTGACAGATATTAGGTTGGGAAAAGGCATTGGCTATTGGGTGAAACAGAAATGTAATACACAAATGAGAAGTATTTTATTATTTTGTCACAATTGATGGGTCAATGGACTAGTCTTAAACTACAATTGTTCTAAATACATAACCCGAATAATATACTCGGTTCCAATTCCCACTCTGCACACACAAAAACACATTTAAAACTACGTATGTGCAGGGAGAGTGGAAAGAAAAGGAAAAACGATAGGAACAAAATACAGTATTGTAAAAGCCCCACATTGCTAAATTGCCTTGAGGGAACACTATCATTGTAATTTAGGATTCTACCCTTAAAAGGGCCCTAAACTAATTTAAAATAAAATAAATGCATCATAATGGAAGATCTCACGCAGTCCATCCTGATCCTATGCACGTTGAGTAGGAAGTCCTCCGAAAACTGAATGGGGATTCAGTGCAACCGTTGCCCTGCAATACTCGCCTACTGAAAGTAATTTACTGTTTCTGCGGGTCTTACTTGCAGGGGAGTATATAACTGCGGTCTCACTCTTAGATTTGCGACTTGTAGAGGCAGCCTACAAGTCGACAAATTGGGAAGCATGCTGGAAAAAGTGGCACTGCAAGCCGAGGCATGCTTTCCAGGGAAGCTACCATGCTATGCGCATCGAGCCGAATAACTCTCCTCGAACTCAGCGGACCTGAACACAGAATATGCATGCACTGGACTGCACTCTGAGCCCCACTGAATGCCGAGGAAAATAAACGTAGCTAAGACTGCAGTGTAAGTCTTCGAATAGCCCGCTTTTAAAGCGCCGATCCCTCGTCGCTGAAGAGTTGCAGAGACTCCATGCAAACTACCTCCAAGCGCGCTCGACCTAGTCACAGGCTCTCCGTGGTTTCGCTTTCCGTTCCTCCCTGAAAACTTGGCCATTCGCTCACTTATGCAAAGCTCCACCTTCGCCCATCCTTCACGCTCTGAGGAGGAGGAGGAGGAGGAGCACGAGCCCTTCCCGGATTCCGATTGGACGCGACGTTCTGCTGACCCGCCTTCCTTGTTTATCCCGCCCTCTCATTCGCTTATCCGGTCCTCATCCTTCTCCTCCCTCGTCGCTTTCCAAGCATCGGCTGCTCATTACGTCACTAGCGCAGTGCGCGTTGGCGTGACGTCAGAGGGCGTAGACGATGACGACGTCTTCGCGTAACTGAGGGAGGTGAAGCCAGGGTGAGGGAGGGGGGAGGAAAATGGCGGATCAAATCCCTCTGCACCCGGTTCCGCGTAGCACCCAGCGGAGGGCAGCGTATTATACCAACGCCTCAGCCGCGCAGAGGCGTAGCAGGTACCGGTTGGAGGAGACACTGGGGTGGGCTGGTGGGGAGGGGTGGTTGCCGGGGGGCGGCTGGAGGCGGGGAGGGGGATGGGTCAGTGGTGGGCATAGCCCAGGTCGAGAGGGGCGAGTAGCAGTTTCTTCGCGTCCTCCAGGCGCCGAATGCAGATGTTCGCTCCCCCCACGGCAGATGGGCCGGGCCGCTGTTGTAACCCGACAGGCCCTCGGACAGCTGCATTGGAGTAGGTTGGGAGATTGGCAAAATGGTTGTCCCTTCTGGGAAGGTGCGCGGTTGTTTGTTGCCGCTGCTGCAGTTGTGGTAGTCCTGTCGCAGCAGCCCACCCTTTGCTGAGTGTGAGTTGTTGCTCAGCGTTGGCTCCTTCAGTCTCTTGGTCCAGAACCAGCTTGTAGATTCACTAGAATTCAACCCTAGAATATGTGGTTGTTAGAATGTTTTAAAAGCTGTTCCTGAGCATGTGCAAAGTGTTCTTGTTGTCATTGCTAAATCGCTGCTGAGGATTAAACAACAACTTGTGGCACGGCGTGTGTCACTTGCAGGAAGATATGAGTCCCTGGTGCATTCATTTTTTCAAGAAAGTCTCTGCACTGGAGGCATCAGAGAAGAGCAGTGAACAGTGTCAGTCTGAAGTATTGGGGTTTAAGCCATATTATTTGTGCTAGAAGAGATTTCTTTCTACAGTAACTTGAACAACTTGAATAAGAGCTTTTAGAGTGTAATCATATGCATGTCTAGACAAAAAGAAACTGTACAAATTTTCTATTTAAACATGCATATAATTGCACCTTTAAAGCTAAACTATGCTGTGCATAGTTCCCATTTATTTGTTCCTATTTGGGTTCCTGTTTGTTATAGAGATTTTACTTTGCCTTTCAAATAAGTGCTCAGTACTGGGGAGCATTCTTATTTCAGGAAAATCAGTGAGTAGGTGAAGGTTTGGTAGTTCTTAATATGAAAGCTCCCCAGACCAGTTTATCTCCAGCAAGAAGTAATTCTAGTGGAAATGGTCTAGGGAAGTATATTCAAGGGTGAATGGCTGGAAAGAGTTAAATACTCCTGTTCCCTAGTACTCATCACATTTGCATTCAAAAGCAAACATGGATTTAGGTGTAGTTCTGCCTTTGGTAGAATCAAGTATATGTAGAACTATGAGACGTTTTCTGTTCTAAAGTTATTGTTTTTGAGAAAACATCTCCGTGCCAATTTTGTCTGACCCGGTCATGAAATACTAGGAGGCCAAAACTGTTGACTGGCCTTGGTAGCTAATGTAGAGTTGTGCTGGTGGCTCATACATTCTTCCTCCAAGGTGGAAGAGCAGGATTGATTCTGATATTACAAAGAATGTAGAACACTTCTGGAACTGAAAGAAGCTATCCTAATCTCAGTTTGGAGCTTCTGCAATTCCTCGGTCTGGATTACTCATCCTGGTATTTTTTTTTATGTGAAGCAGATTTCAGCAAAGCCACCCAGTTCTTATCCAGAAAGAGTTCAGTGGTAGAGTTGGGATTTTTGTTCAGTTTTACAAAATGTCAGGCATGTATTACTGGTACCTGTTCTTAAATCATTCTAGTTGCAAGCTTACTGGATTATATTTTATTTATTTATAGTATTTATAGCTCTCCTTTCTAACAAAAGTTCCTGAAGAGGATTTCAATATATTGAAACAAATTATTAGATATTTTATTATTAGAAGATATTCTGAGCAAGAAAACCCACCAATCTAGATGGAGAAAAGCATCTGTTATCTTTCCATGAAACATCTTTTTCATGAAGGTCCAACTGTGCATCATGAAGGTGCACAGTTTGAGACTGGTCCTGGGCATGAAACTTTCAAACTCACCTGATGATAGTGGTGAGGAGTATTATTTACCATCTTAAGTTAATACAGTGTTTACAGCTTTGTCTGGAGAAAGCTCTTTCCTTAGTGTTCGAGTGACATCTGGACTACTCTAATGTGCTCTCCATCTGACTTCCTTTAAGAGTACTTCAGAAGATTTATCTGGCGTTGAATTCAGCCATCTCCTGGAGTGCTGAATTCTTGAGTGATGTGCATTCACCTGAATGCATCAAAATTTGACTTTAATGCATTAATTTGACTTCTGGAAGCCACAAGTTATACTCATATACTTTTCAAGATGCTAACAATTAATTTTTGCTTGTTTAATTGGAGTGTGTCTGCTGTCTTAAAGTTTCATTCCCTTGCCCTAAATATAAAAGATGGGGAACTTTGAAAGCAGCCTGTGATAGACTGAAATGAGCTGTACTTAGAATATAAATATGAGAACCACAGAACATGTGCAAAAATGCTTGGGTGTGTATATTGGACTTTTGGTTTCCAGACATGAAAATATCACACATAACTAAGCCCCTGTTAAGCCTGAGGCCTGCAACTCATATCAAATTATGTTAAGTGGTATAGTTAGCCTGTTTTAGAGAGTAAATAGGATGGAAAAAGCTGAAAACAAACTATGAATGTGAAAAGCATGATGGAGGCCAGTAAATAAGAAAGAGCTGTCACAACATCCGTAGGCATAAGATAACAGGATTGGCTCTGTGCAATATGACGCTTGCCTTCCAAACATTTAAAACAGCAAGACACTCACAACAACATGAAGAAGCAGCAGGAACAAAGAACTAAAGTGACATGCTCATAGCCACATCAGGTTTCTGAAGGTCTCAAAAGAGAGATCTGGTAAATGTGTTTAGGATTATGGTCTAAGTAGAATAGGTGAAATATAAGTGGATAATAAAAAGGTTTCATAAACAACTGTTAGAACATGTTGAGGCTCATTCTGATGAGTCCTAATGTTAAAAATAGCAACGGAGTATCTAGAGCTTGAGATGAAATTGGCGAGAGGGCTATACACTGTATCCTGGTTCACATGTTTACTTTAGGCTGTTTTGGTATTTCCCAAATAGAGCTCTTGTGTATGTTTTAGTATGTCCTGCCTGACTTTGTGGGCATCATAACTATCCTACGTGAAAAGATAGCTCACTCAGAATACACAGCCAATATTACCCTTTAGCTAGGGATTTCAGAGGAATATCAAAACAGTAGACCTGGGAGGGACCAGACGGCTATTGGATCCTGCCCCTGCTCAGTGCAGGGTTCCAGATTAAACACTCATATGGCTGACCAGTTGCATTTTGAATGCCTCTAGTATGGGAACCCGCAACCTCCCTAGTTAATTGGTTCTATTGTTGTACTGCTTTAACAGCCAGGAAGTTCTTCCTGATGTTCAACTGGAACCTGACTTTCTGTAACTTGAGCCCATTATTCTGTGTCCTGCACTCTGGAATGATTGAGAAGAGATCCTCTCCTTCCCCTTTGTGACAGCCTTTCAAGTACTTGCAGAGTGCTATCATATTACCCCTCATCTTCTCTTTTCAAGGCTGAACATGCATAGTACTTTCATTTTTTCCTCATAGGGCTTAATTTCTAGTCACTTGGCCATCCTTGTTGCTGTCCTCTAAACCCTTTCAAGCTTGTCTGCATCTTTCAAACTGTGGTGCCCAGAATTGGGCACAGTACTCTAGATAAGGCCTAACCAGTACTGAGTATTGAGGAACTAGTACTGCATGTGATTTGGAAATGATACTTCTCTTAATTCAGCCTAAAAGAGCATTTGCCCCTTTTGCAGCCATGTTGCATTGATGACTTATATTCAGCTTGTTATTTACAATTCCAAGTACCTTGTCACTTACACTATTGTTGAGTCAAGTATCCCCATCTTGTAATGATTCATTTGGTTTCTTTTTCCTAGGTGCCAAACTTGGCATTTCTCCCTAGGGGCTAGGGCTAGAGGTGAAGAGTTTGGGGTCAGAAATAAGGCAGCAGGCAGTCTGATATAGTTCAAGAGAGAGAGAGCACAGTCCAGAAACAATCCAGTGGTCAAATGCCAGTGAAGCAGTCGCATAAAGCTGGCTAAGGTGGAGGAGGGGAGGCCACAGGGACAGAAAAGAGTGAGCTGGAAAAAGGCAGGGTCTAACCAGAGCATGGCAGGAACAACTGGAGCAAGCAGAAACACACTGGAGCAGGACAAGAGCAGACCAGAACACGCAGGAGTAAACTGTAGCAAAGCAGGAGCAAGAGTCAGGGCATGATGATGCAGAGGGCCAGAGCACAAGAGACTCACAAACAAAACTTGCATTGGCATGGCCAAGAGCAGCAGTGCTAGGAAGACTTTAATGCTTGTCTCCAGGACCTCCAGCTGCACTGCAGAATTGCTTTTCAGCGGTCCCCTGCAAGTGCCTGCAAAGGTGTTCCTGGTTCTGTGGGCACTTGCAGAGTCCCTCAGGCCCTGATCCGGACACATTGTTTTCATGGTCTTTAAAAACTGACTGTTTTATAATCATGAAATGATTAGACTGACTGGTCTGTAGTTCCCAAGTTGTTCTTTTCTTTCTTGAAGATAAGGGCGACATTAGTCTGTCTCCAGTTATCTGGCACTTCCCCTATCATCCATGATTTCTCAAAGACAGTGGTCCTACCAGCTCCTTTATGATTCTGAAATGGGGTTCATTGCACCTTGAAGGTTTGAACTTATTCAGCCCAATATGATGACCCATGACCATTTGCCTATCAGTACTGAGCTGTCATCCTGCTCCCTCAGCTTGTATTTTCTGTTTATCAGGAAAGTCATGGATTTTCTTTTGGAAGAAGACTGAACCGAAGTAGGAATTGATAACAGATGTCAGAAAAAAGGCAGAAGTGCTCATTGGCCATTCACGTTGAGTAGATGAACCCAGATTTCTTTCCTCTGTCTTTACTATGGCGCTATCTGCAGAAGTCTTTTTGTTGCTTTTAGCATCCTCACCAGCCTCAATTTATTCCTAGCTTTAGTACTCCTGACGCCATTCCTGCAATTGCCAGTATTCTTCCTTTTGTAGGTTGGCTTTCTTTTCACAGAGAGTTTACCTTTGTCACAGCAGCTGCACACTGGGTTAATATTTTGATTAAGCTTTCCACTTGAACTCTAGAATTGTTTTTATT